TAAGTAGTGACAAGAACTCATACGGAGTGCAATTTCCGGGTTTTCTGACAAATATATTTTGTTTTATACAGGAATGGATGCTCAAATATCATATGATTTTCACGCACAGAGGAAGTTGCATGCTGAAAAGTTTAGAAACCAGTTAGTTAATCAAGTACTAAATCATTTTCTGAATCTTTAACATCATGATCCAAAGTAGATTAGTGTAAAACAATGTCTATTTATTTATCACTATAGTTTTAATGAATGAAGTCTTCATCCATCTAATATGATGGTTACCTAATCAGGGTTTTCATTTGTTCTGGATTCTAAGCGTTAAAAAGTTGTTTTGGTGTCTAGGTGTTTCCATCTGTTACTACATGGGTCTAACTTGTCCCCATAAGTCAGAAATAAATTTTCTACTTATCATAATTCTTTGATTTTGTAATTTGTTCAGGGTACTTACTTGAAGCTTGGATGTACACAAGGATGGTTTTGTGCTTCTCTTTCGCATCCAGCTTCACGGTTAGTCTTCTAGCAACTGTATGTAACATTGGGAATTTTACTTTTATTGTTCTCAGTTGTACATGATACATCTTCTGGTTTTTCTTTTTATATTCCTAACAGTAGTACAATTTCTTGTTAAAAAAAAAGGCAGAAATTTCATCAAAGAAAATTCAAATTTATTGACCATCTTCATGACATCACCACTTTTGGACTCACCATTCAGTATTTGCACTCCCACTCGACTTAAACCAATCGTCGCCTTTCCATTGAACCTCAATCACCATACCTAGTCTAAGTTTTAGTTATTGAAAGAATTGGCTCGTGACGGATATATGATTTGCATAGTTTCGAGTGAAGACTAGTGAGTTATAGCCCATTTTGCGGTAAAAAAGACGAAAAAAGAAACCAATATGTGACTTCTTGTTCTCTTTATTTTTGCAATGATCCGAAATCAGGATTGGTGAATTCATTTAAACATTCTGAGACCTATGGTTATCAACCATTCTTCAAGTTAGCCTTCTGTTTGGCTGTCTATGTTAGTGACAATGCCCGTAATCTCAACACAGGAACGTAGCACAGCAGATAAAGCTTAGGATCATGAAAAGACAAGGTCAATGGGAGGATGTCCTCATACCTCGCAGGTAATACAAAAGATCTGTTTTAACTTTTTGTTAACTGTTATGCCTCTCTTAATCTCTAAAGCGACTTATCCCAAAGGTTGTTTTGACCCTTTGTTTTTCAGATTACGTTGTGTAGCATTACATTTTGCATGCTTCATTTAAACGAAATGGTACAATGAGTCCCAGGCACATCGTTGATTAGAATGACATGTATGATAATTTGTTGAACTAAAATCAACTGAATCAATTTTTGGGACAAACTTACATCGTCTCCACGTCCATCTTTTCCTATTTTTCCGATTAACATTATTAGCCCTTCCATAATCTTTAAATTTCCATCTTTTATCTTTTGATGTATAGCATCAGGTCTATTGTTTGCCTCAACTTACCCAGTTTTTCTGGTGGTCTTGATCCATGGGGGAAACCAAATAGGAAGAAAATGCAATATGTGAGTTCCGTTTGCTCCCCTTATCTGTTCAGACATATTGATCTCTCCAAAATTCCAGTTGAAAAGTGTAGCAATTTTTCTTGCCAACTTTTTAATGATTTTTTTTTTCAAATAATGTGTGCTTAACAGCGGGATTTAACTCCTCCATATGTGGATGATGGCCTCATTGAAATTGTTGGTTTTAGAGATGCCTGGCATGGTCTTGTGTTACTTACTTCTAAGGGACACGGGACTCGTATTGCACAAGTACGATAAGTAAATCCTCCACTGATCATTCAATGCTGCAGTCATCTTTAGATAAACACAAATCAAACTAGTTTGTAGGATCATCGTTTAAAGAATTCATCTTTATTTCTGTTTCTTGTCGCTCTCTCTTCCTTTGGTTGTAGGCAAACAGAGTACGTTTCGAGTTTTGCAAGGGTGCAGCTGACCATACATTCATGAGAATTGATGGGGAGCCATGGAAACAGCCTCTTCCAGCTGATGATGACACAGTGGTTGTAGAAATTTCTCACTTTGGCCAAGTGAGCATGCTTGCCACACCACTAAATCGTTCCCAAAGCATACATGAACCACTGTCACCAGCGGGCTCCCACGATGAGGATGATGATAGTATTGACGAAGAATATGCAGATGCAGAAGAAATGGAAGAGAGGAGGAAGTTTGGTGCATCTGAGACGTTTAAATTTCCTGACGGGGCTGACATAGCTTGAGTTAAGCCTTTAATTGCTCACAAGGTCAACCTGCATTGCGGGTTCACGAAAATTGAGGTAGGTTTTGTCCAACAGAGTCCATCGGGGCCTCAATTTGAAATCTCACCGTCCTGACAGTGTGGTTGAGACATGCTATTTTGTGGATTGTGTGCATACATAATTCTACTAACATCTGGTGAATTCGGATTCAGATTCGAAATCCACTTCTTTACCTGAAAATTGCTTGATTGTATAGGGCACATATACTTGATTCTGTAACCGTAGGTATTAATCCTTAGCTTGTGCAGCAAAACTCTGGTATTTAAAGCTATATAAGAAGAGAGCTCTACTGCCTGTCTGTATTTACAAGCTTCTTAGTTACGGAATGCTCTTGCAAAAATTGCATCTCAGCTAAATTTATAAGGGGTTTGAGGGCTTGAGCCATGCAACTTTAATGTCCTTTTCTGTTATATAAAAGCAAAACTAGGAAACTGAAACCCCCATTCTACCCATGTGTTGTAACTTTGCAAATGCCGTGGCTCGTAGAATGACCAAGTTGGCTTTACTTTTTTATCTCAGCATTATTTGTTGGAGGAAGAGGTCGCACTTGGTGCGATGGCAAGTGCTTTCGCCCATGAGCGGTAGGTCTCGGGTTCGAGACTTGGGAGCAGCCTCTCCATAAATGGGGGTAAGGCTAGCCGACATTCACCTCTCCCAGACCCTGCGTAAAACGGGAGCCTTGTGCACTGGGTACGACCTTTTATTATTTGTTGGAGGAACTTTCGGATTTTACTTTCTAAATCTAGAAGAATGGTTACTTTCTTAGCCTAGAATAATGTGTCAAGAATGAGTATTGAGGAGAATTTTTTGTAAGTGCATAGTATTCGAGCGGACATGAAAAAAATATGTCAGTTCCTTCACTTGTATTATGTCATATGGAGGACCGTTGAATATTCGGTACTTAGAAAAATCTATCTGTCTTAAAGATATTCATCCACGGAATTATCATATTATATGGGTTATCCTGCTGTCTACCATCTGGATCAGCCTCATATTCTCAATTATATCGTTTTGTGAATTTTGTTTTTCGGCGATCTTGCTATCATGCATCGAATAATCTGATATGGACTACTCAAGTTTCTATCGAAATTTGGTGTAACGTGTAAAGTCTTATTCGATGTGTATGTATGTGATGGATTAAGACCTGAACTATATTTTAGCCAATTAAACTGAGAAAGCTATGCACATTCTGCTAATTGAGACCTTTCTTTCTTGCACGGCTTAATTCAAAAAGGAATTTAGGTCAAAAATGTTTATTAAAACAAACGTATGATCATACAAAAATATGAATTCTAGCAACCTTTTCATTTGGACATTCTCGTTCTACTTTCTTAGTTCTCTTTATCGTCTTGCAATGTTGTTTGATGATCAGAACGATTTACTTTATTGATCACCGTTTAATGATCATTTATGCAAAAAATGAACTAAATTCGAAATCGTTTAGTCATCTAACTGTGATTCAATGAATATATGAGCCATGTTACTCATTTAAACAACAAAATTTTGACAACATTAACCAAACAAATGATTTCTAATTTAGTTGGTTTTTTTTGTAGAGTTGATCTTTAAAAAGTGATCTAGAAAGTGAACGGTTCAAATCATCAAACACCATTACAAAATTGGTAAAAGAGCCAATAAAATTGAAATAAAGAGGTTGCTAGCATTTCCCTACAAAAATTTACTTACAGAAAAATAATTGAAAATACAAGACTACATTTTAGATTTTTAGCCCAGGAGCTGTATAATTGACCTAAAATAAAGACCCCTCTACCAAAAACAGAAAAAGTCACTTAGTATTACATTCTAGTGATATTCCTCTCTATTCATAAAAACATCTCCAACCCTGGCCTATAATATATTTCCCCCCTTCTATTCCCCCTCAAATCCAACCCAACCCAAGCTTAAAATTGGACCTAAAACCTAAAATCTAAAACAAAGCTAGATTTAGCTCAAGATTAGTGAGGCTGACCCACCATATATGTATATTTTATTTAGTTTTATATTTATAAATTCATTAAATCGAAAGGTTAAGATCGAATTTGATGAAATTCAACAGTAAAACAAAAAATTAACAGTCCAAATTTAAACAGTTAAGGTAATTAAAAAAAATCTTTATGTGTTTTATATTTGTTTCATAGTATTTAACGAGTTTCATGGTGTTGGTTAGTGATTTTTCAGTATTTGTCAGAATCTAAATATTTTTAGGTTAAATGTTCATAAAATTAAATTAGGATAGTCTAAATATTTTTTTTTCTTTTAAAAAAGTTACTTTAAGAAAAAAAATTAGTCTAAATTCATTCTTTAATAATCTGGAGCTAAAATTTTAGGCCAAAAGAGTTAAAGCAAAAAAGTTGTTTCTGAGTTAAAACCTAAATTTTTTGGGCTAAAAAGTTATGTTTTAGGCCAAGGGTTGGAGATAGTTTAAATGAAAGGTTTTAAGTTTGATTCTCATCAAGACGAATTTGAACTATATTATTGCTAAGTTTTTGTGAGGTTTAATCCACTCTCACACTCATTTAGTATAAATAATATTATTTGTTATAAAAAAAAAATTAAAAAAAAATTAAAAAAAAAAAAAAACCCAAAAACAAGAAAAGCGCGTGGCTTTGCACATTGTTTTGCAACCCTATTAGTGTTACCACAGATTTGTTTCCGTGATACTGGCGGCTGTGCCTTGATTTTCGCTCCCCTTCTCCTATTAGCTTCCTCTATATATATGCATCAATAAATTTAAGAAACCTCAGATTCAGATTTCTCATTTCATACTCTCCCTTTCAAGTTCAAACTTTCACCTGTAAGATCTTTGATCACAGCAAAACCAGCAAACAATCAGAAAAAAATGAGTGCAGCGTGCAGAGCTTGGATTGTGGCAGCAAGTATTGGAGCAGTTGAGGCACTCAAAGACCAAGGAGTCTGCAGGTGGAATGGGGTTCTGAGATCAGTCCACCAACATGTCAAGAACAACATCAGATCCTATTCCCAAGTCAAGAAACTCTCCGACTCTTCGTCTTCTGCAATTTCTATGAAGATGCAGAGATCACAGGAAGACAAGTTGAGAAAAGTCATGGAATTGAACTGTTGGGGTCCTAATACCATAAGATTTTAGATTCTAATTATGTAATTTAGATTTAGGGTTTATGAGTATTGGATTATATGTCATCCCTTTTATCATGAGAATTAAACGACTTATTTCATTGCTCATTGTCATTGGATAAAAATGGCGTTGTCAAATTTTAAGATCAGTGTTCTGGTGATTGTTTTAAGCCCTGAACTTATTAAACAAATCCATGAACAGGAACCATGAACTCTTCCGGTAGATCCATATCATAAAAGCAGTCTTAACATGGATTTGATGAATTTTAAAATTATCTTTTGCTGCAATAGTAATCAATTAACATACAGATGGATGCCATCCTTTTGGCTCGTGTGTGTGTGTGTATATATATATATATATATGTCAAAGCACTCAGTCAACAATTTAGGATAGGAACCACATCCTTAGACTTTGAGAATATGATAGGAAGGTTGTTGGCCTTACTAGCTCGTATAATGTCATATTTAACTTCTTAACAAGTTATTTTCGAGGATGCCGTGGTATTGCTTGCTCCATCAGGCAGGTTGAGTGGAACCATATTTACAATGAGGTTAACTTTGTCGTGGACGCATTGACTTACATTGGTCTTTCTGTGGAACCTCCACATGTTTGGGATCACTGCTTACTTGCTAGTGCCCTCATTGCTTTTAATTTTGATTGTATTGGAAAACGGTTGTACTCGTGACTTTTCGCTTTGTTACTAGTTCTTTTTTGGATTAAAAAAAAAAAAGCACATTGTCCTCGAATAATATGGACTACTCAAGTTTCTAAAGAAATTTGGTGTAAAGTCTTATTCGATGTAGACCTAAGCAATATTTTAATTTGAATAATACTAGAAAGATTAAATTTTTAAACTAAATTTGCAAACTAAATGATGTGTCATTAATAAAAAATAAGCATGTTAATCAATAGTTAAGTAATAATTCAATTATTAACATTTACACCATTTAGTTTATAAATTTGGTTTTCCTAACATTACCCTTTTAATTTAGTTTAAACTAGGAAGGAGAAATTAGAAATTAGAAGCAATCTTGTGGAAAATGAGTAAATTATATTAGTCAATTAAACTGAAAAAGCTATGCACACTGCTAATTGTGACCTTTCTTTCTTGCACGACTTAATTCAAAAAGGAATTTGGGTCAAAGTGTGTATTAAAAAAAGTATGATTATACAAAAATGAGGAATATTAGCGACCTTCCCATTTGAGACATTTTCATTCTATTCTTGGCTCTCCTCATTTTGCAATATTTTTTGTTGATCATAATCATTTACTTTCTTGATTACTTTTCAAAGATTACTTATACAAAAAACTAACTAAATCCAAATCATTTAATTATCTAATTGTTAACCAATAAATAGATGTAACATATTTCTCAGTTAAATAAGAAATTTTTGACAACGTTAATTAAACAGTTAAATAATTTCTGCTTTGGTGATTTTTTTGAAGTTGATCTTTAGAGAGTGATCTAAAAAGTGAACAGACTACGATTTTCCTAAAAAAATTACCTATACGAAAATAGTAATAATACGGACTGCATTTTAAATTTTTAACTCCTTACATTGGAGATAGCATAATTGACCTAAAATCAAAGACCCCTAATTCAAATTTGGTGTTTTGGAATACCAAAAACAGAAAAACCGAAAAACAAGAAAAGGACGTGGCTACTGACTCCCCCAAAGAGGAGCGTTTAACTACCCTTTGACTCATGACCTAAAAATGCATGTGCTTTTTGCCCATTGTTTTGCAACCCTCTTTGTATCACCACAGATTTATATCCCTCATACTGGTGGCTGTGCCTTGATTTTCGCTCTCCTTCTCCTATTTGCTTCCTCTATATATATGCATAAATAAATTCAAGAATCCTAGATTCAGATTTCTCATCTGCGAGACGGCCAGTAGTCTCTGACTTGGTCTTCAAATCGTAAGTTTAAGCTTGTTTTCAGCTTTTGCCTCGCTTTCAATTGAAAGGAATCTGAATCTCCCTTTAAAACAAAATGAAATCATAATCCCAAAACATTAGACAACATAAATTACTTTTTTGTCAACAACACGGCCCTTTTTCGGATATCGGTTATTTCATACTCTCCCTTCCAAACTTTCACCCGTAAGATCTTTGATCACAGCAAGCTCAGAAAACAATCAGAAAAAAAATGAGTGCAGCGTGCAGAGCTTGGATTGTGGCAGCAAGTATTGGAGCAGTTGAGGCACTGAAAGACCAAGGAGTCTGCAGGTGGAATGGGGTTCTGAGAGCAGTCCACCACCATGCCAAGAGCAACATCAGATCCTATTCCCAAGCCAAGACACTCTCCGACGCTTCGTCTTCTGCAATTTCTATGACGATGAAGAGATCACAGGAAGACAAGTTGAGAAAAGTCATGGAATTGAACTGTTGGGGTCCAAATACCATAAGATTTTAGATTGTAATTATGTAATTTAGATTTAGGGTTTATGAGTATTGAATTATATGTCACCCCTTTTTCCATGAGAATTAAACGAGTTAATTGTTCTGGCGATTGCTTTAAACCCTGAAGAACTCATTTAACAAGCCCATGAACAAGAACTATGAACTCTTCCGGTGGATCCATATCATAAAAGCAGTCTTAACATGGATTTGATGAAAAGATTTAACTTTTGCTGCAATAATAATCAACAAACAAGAGAAATTTTTAGTTGCGATGGGAATACAGATGGTATACTATGTGTTTTTATTCAAGTGGTGGAAAATTTTAATTTTGAAGTTATTAACCTTTTAACACACATACCCACCATTTATATAGGGACACATGGTGTACCACCTCGTGTGACAGTCACACTAAAAAATCTCTCAACATACAGATGGATGTGATCCTTTTGGCTCGTAAATTTATGGAACTGGATCCTCTCCTGAGCTCAGGATGGGGATCCTCTGAGTAGCCCATTCAGGGCGTTCAAATTTGATCCAACGGCTGCAAACAGAAAGCTCCTCTAAAAGTTATAATAATTGCAATCGTTGGATCAAGTTTGAATGGTCCGGATAGGCTGCTCATGAGGATCCCCATCCTGAGCTCAGGAGAGGATCCAGTTCCGTAAATATATATCAAAGTACAATCAACTATTTAGGACGAGGGACCACATCCTTAGACTTTGAGAATATTATAGGAAGGTTGTTGGTCTTCCCAGCTCATATGGTCTCTTATTTAACTTATTAACAAGTTATTTTTTGAGAATGGTTTTCAAAAAGTAACGTTTTCTCCAAAAATTTAAGAGTGATGTATTCTCACCATAATGTTTTATCTCCTCACCTACTTTTTAATTAAATTTTTAATTATAGGTTTGTCCATTATAAAATAACCGATAAAAACCTTGAAAAACATCATGGGAAAGTATACATTTTCTACTTGAGTTGCAACACACTAAAATCAAGGTTTCCTTTGAAAAAAGTTTGACAGTGAAGCATCATGATTTTTGACATTCAAAGTTCAATTCATGGAAGTTCTCAAGGCGTGTTTAACAATCCGTAATCAGAATGAAAAGAAAGAGTCTGATTCCGATTACGGTTTATACCTGTGTTTACTAAAATTTAAAGGAATCAACAGTGTGTGGGACCCACACAAATAATGGAATTCAATTCCGGGAGAGTGAGTGAATCCGGAATTCATTTGCTCTTCCTATTATGCCCTCTTCTCTTATCAATACGCCGTTCAACCCAACAAATTAATCTCACGAGCTTGAATTCTGGTTAGGGGTGGGCACGGGCCGGGTCGGGCCTAAATTTGGAGGAATCGGACTCGACCCATTTTAAATTGCAACGGGCCGGGCCAGGCCGAGTAATGAAATTTCTAAAATTGAAACCGGACCTAACCTAGCCCGTTTGAAACGAACCGGTTCGGGCCAGGTCCACGGGTCCAATAACATTTTTTCAAGAACATATTTGGGTCTACAATTTTTTTATTAGAACAGGCTTGGCCCATTTGAAGACAACAACTTCATTCAACCAGTTTTCCCGTTCTTATCATCCAACAACATTTAAACTGTAAAATATGTAGACAACCATTCCCAATCATCAAATTATAACTGCAAATCATAAAGCGTAGCAATTTAAAGCATATGGAATTTAGTAAGAAAACCAATGAACATGAATAAGTTCAATATTAGTCTATTTTGCCTTACAAGTCCAGCAAGATCCTTTACAGAATGATTTTCCAAAGCTAAACTAAAACCAAAACTAAAATCAAAACCTAAGCAAAACTAATTAAATCCAAAAAATTTAGAAACTACATCCCCAAATTCAGTAACCCAGAAATTTCAAAAATCCTAATTCAAAAGTCCTAAATCCCTAAATTTAGAAACCCAGATAATTCAAAAACCCTAATTTAGAAATTACCTTAATATGAGAGAAGATGATATGATATTTTGAATCACAGGATGATGGTGGTGTTCTCGACAGCGGTGACGGGTGGTCGCATTCGGGAGGAGACCATGGTGATGGTGGTGTTCACAAGATGACTCGACTCGAGTGAGAAAGGGGGAGCGATAACTCTGATCTGGGAGCAGATGGTGTAGGGGAAGCACCTATGTACATCGTCGTGGCTTCAATGAGAGGAAGAGTGAACAGTGGAGGAGGCGCTGAGGAAGCAGTGGGAGGTGAAGTGATGGCGAGACGGCCTGCAGGGAGAAGAAACCAAGGTTCTAGAGATGACAAAGGTGGATGAGGGGGAGAAAAATCAAGCCCTAGAATCTATGAGGAGGCAACCTGGAAGTTAAGAGATGATGGCTCCTGAAAAAATATACTTACAGGCTTTGAGAGAGAAGACGAGAGTTAGTGACAGAGAGGTGGAAATAAGATATGTGGTAGAAATTAATGGTGGAGATTTAATCTCCATAGAATGGACGGTGGAAACGGTCCTACTCAGGTACCCGTTTTTTCAGAAATTTGGACCCGACCTGCCTCGCCAATTACATGGACCCGCCCCGTAGGTCATAGACTCGTTTGCCCACCCCTAATTCTGGTAGAGTAAGGGAATCAAAAATCCGATAGGTTCAGGAGATTTGCAGGTTGCATACGAGATCTTGTTCCCGAACACCGGATCACCGTCGTTCAGGAGGCGATGAACCAGCCGCTTCGACATCGCCGACATGCAGCGTGGACGTAGCTCCAAGATGATGACGTCAACGTCAGTATCTCACAGACGTGCTTTTCGCTCACCTATTCATCTTTCTGTGACATTGTTTTGGCGACCGCGACCTCGAGGTCTAATTTCTGGGTTTTTTCTTCCGCGGAGGGAAGATGATTGTGGCTGGGCTCTTACTTCGGCTTTTGCACAATAGTGGACTTTAACTCTGTTGATGCACAAAACCGGAGGTCTTGGAACAACGTAAATCCGACCGTGAATCTGCATGAAATGTAAATAACACAAGATGTATAGTGGTTCATCCTAAGGTTTGGGCTACGTCCACACTGATTATGTATTTATCTGAGGGAGAGAGAGCTCTGAGAGTTAGAGCTTTGAGAGGGGGTGAGGAGCCTTAGGAATTGGCATCCCCCTGTTGTGAGGGTGAGGAGTCATTTTATATAATAAGGGCTCCTCACTTATTACATATTTGCCCCTTCCTTTATTACATAATTACATTTAAGTCCCCTGAGTATTTGTACGAGATCTAAATACGGAGGCCCTAAATATGGTATAAACAGTAGTCCCTGAAGTCTTCAGTCAAAAAAGTCTTTTGGATGGAGACTTGAAATTCAGTCTATGTGTGGGCTGAAGTAGCTAGATGTTATCTTGAACTAATACTTGATATGAGGCGGTGCTTAAAGTGAAATACTGCTCAACTTGAAGTAACACATGCTGCGAGGCTGCTCTGCTTGTGGCTTATGTTGCCTTGGTTGGCTCGGCTTGTGGCATTGAAGGTGAGGGAGTCCCTTTTATAGAATAAGGGCTCACTCCTCAATACATAAATGCTGGGCTAGAGTTGATGCTCGAGGCGAGGCAGTTGCTCAGTAGGCGGCGATGCTTTCTAATGATGGTGAGGGAGTCCATTTTATAGAATAAGGGGTCGCTCCTCGGTACATGAATAATGGGTGCTCTCTAATGAAAGTGAGGGGGTACCTTTTATAGAATAAGGGCTCGCTCCTCAATACATAAATAATGGGCTAAGTCCCCCAAGTATTTTTTTATGAGGCCCATTTGAGGCCCAATATATGGTGTATAGTGTAGTCCCTCAAGTCTTCGGTCAATAGAGCCTGTTTGCTGGAGACTTCAAATTGAATCCATGTATGGGCCGAAGTGGCGGTTGTTCGGAGGCGGTATTTGTATACCTTGCACTGAAGCTTTGTAGGTGAAGCTTTGCAAGTGAAGCTTTGAAACTAGAGCTCTGTAAATGAAGCTTTTGAAGCTAGAGCTTTGTAAATGAAGCTTTTGAAGATAGAGCTTTTTGTAGCTTTTGAAGCTAGAGCTCTGTAAATGAAGCTTTTGAAGCTGATTGACATGAGTGATGCTCATGAATTTTTATGTTGATTGATATGAGTGATGCTGAGTGCATGATGTTGTCTGATGTCCTTGTGATGCTGACATGAATGTGTTGTTATGTATGAATGTAATGCTCATGAATGTATTTGATGGCCTGGTTGGTTGGTCATGATGGCTCATGAATGATATTGTATGAGTTTAATGTGGTGGCATGCTCAAATAATTTGGAGTAATGGGCGTACTTTTGATGACTTGGTGGTGGTTGCGGCAGAGTACCTTTTTTTTTTTGCACCTGGTGGTGGTGAATGGCGTTGCCTGATTTAGAGACTTAAATTTTCATCACTGATGGTGCTTGACTTTTTGATGCTTATTTTGATTTACATGATGGGGTTCATTGATGTCTCCATGAATAAGTTTGAATGTAGGCCCTGGTGTTATTCAATTCCTTGGCTTTAACTTTTTGGTTTTCTTTTGATTTTTTCTTGGTTTTGGGGCTTTTAATTTTGTTTCTACTGTTTACTTGATGACTTTGATGGTAATAGGGCATTTGGATAATCTCCGAACTTTCATCACCTGGTGTGCCTATTATTTTGTAGACAATTGGTTGCTTTCGGGCCTGGTGCCTTTTTTTTTTGCTTTTTGACCCTGATTTCTTATGATGTCCTTTTTAAAAAAAATTTCACCATTTCTTTGTTTTCCTTCTTTGCTTTCTTCTTTTGTTTTTTTTGCTTTTTTTCTGTTTCTTCTGCTTTTCTTTCTGCTTTCTACTTTGGATATGTCGCTTGATGACATGATTAAGGGCAACAGGGGTAATCGTGACAGAAATAGAAAATATTGTGGTAGGGGTTCTCATGGCTTGAAGCATGTGGCTCCTTTATTGCTGAAGGGATGGCATGGTTGCTTTCGGCCTGGTTGCCTTTCTTTTGCTTTTGCCTTCCCCCATCTTTGTTGTTTTTTTTTCCTTTTGGCTTAAAGATTTCAAACCCCAACTTGCAAGCATCTTTTCCATCTGACACGCTTTCACCCAAATCGGGTGATTGAGAAATGATGTATGGATTCGGTGCACATAGTGATAGG